TTCATCCCATGAAAAGAAAATCTATCCCCAGCCTTATATTTTCCATTCACATGTTCTATGGTTGAAATTGAGGGTTTCTGTGTACGACCGTGATTTGTCAAATTCATATGCGTAATCTCATCAAAAGGGATAAAGGAGTTATCAGAAAGATTAAATGGCTTAAACTCAGAGCATCAGAGCTGCATCACACAAGATTAGAGATGTACAATAAAGCAATGACCAACTCTCAGTGGCTAAGGAGCCTCTTTGTATCCCAGTGGCACACACCCACTGGGTCAAATCAATCAGAATGTGTGCATCTGAGTCAGGTGATTGAAATGCAAGAAGGGTACACAGGTAATGCTGAACGGCTATGATAGCAGGAAGAGTCTCTTTTCAACTCCTCTGCACTGCACCTCCCTTATAACTCCCAGAGGAGTTCTCAAAGGTTTACAAAGTGCACGTCTGGGTTCCTTAATTTTCTCTTCATCGCTCGGCATACAATATTGCCACATTAGGCATGTAAATAGGGGCTTGAAATTAATCTCTTGACTACAGCATGAGCAGCGAGCAGATATTTCCTCCCTCAGCTCTAGCTCAGAAAATCACTGAGCTAGAGCTCATATATGATTGTGGACACTGACTCACACATTTTTAAGACAAGCTTGGGATTTAGCCACGTGTGGCTCTAACTATGAAAAGTCATTTCAACAATGAATCTGTGGGGAAAAGGGAGGCTGATGTTATTCTCTGTTTTAATGGCTGAGTCCAGTAGCTCATTTACAGTTAGTCTACACGCCGGATTCGGTTCAAGACCCTACAGCCTCGACTGTCTATTCTATCCTGGTCACATTCCTGAGCTGCAAATTCACAGCTATATTTACATGGCTCAGAGTATGTTGCTGTGTCTCGCTGACTGCACACGTCCACCTGTCCCTATTTGTAATTCAAAATAATCACTGCACGATTGCATCGTCGCTCCTATTAATATTCAAATGGTGCCACTGTTAAGAGTTGAAACAGCCGTCTATCATTCTTCGCAACAAGTCCTCCGAACTAAACAACCATATAGATCGCTGTCCCCTGTACCCTTGACCCATAGGAGGGCAGACATACCAGTCAATACTGGGGCTTATCGGCCACTGATCCACAGAAATCTACTGGCTTTCATCTTTATCAGGATTGATCTCTGAGTGACTATGAAAACTAATCTCACCTACTCGATTTTCAAAGTTATAGATATAAATGCATGGAAGTGAGATTTCGCCTTTGTATTTTCCACATTTAGTGGAGCTGATTAGTAGAACAGACAGTCGGAGATGTTATTTTGGGGGGGGGTCAGGCCTGCATTTAGGGTTTATGAACATGCGAGGTGTAAGTTTAAAAAAGTACTGATGGTCGTCATTGTTTAGAATGATACCAGTATTATTAGACCGTCTCTGATGTCCAGACATTTGTAGAAGTCAGTTAAAGTAAGTACGCCGTGTCGTATGGGAGAAGGTAAATTGTATATTTTAACCACTTTTCAAGCAGGGGTCTTAACAAACCTCAGGTTTATGTGCACTACGGACACTTTTGTGACAATAAATTAATATTGGAATATTATTAAATATGGAATGCAGATAACACACCTGAGAGAAACTTAACATTTTCATTTTCACCTTACAAGATGAGGATAAAGTCAAGAAATTAATACTTTGTGAAGACAGTGTTGTCTGAATGTCATGAGGCCACCATCTCCAACATGTTTGAAACCCTGTGTGCTCTTCGAGGACGTAACATCCTGTTTGACCTGTTGGATCATCCGTCAACACTAACAGGACACATGAATTGAGGAAGGACCAACAAAAAAGCTTCTATAAGACATGTTTCCATTCAGTCACAATATGTGATTACCTGTCGACAGGATCAGGCTCAGGGTTCCTGCACAGTTCACCAAGTTATTATAGAAATTATTACATTAATGGACCTGGATAAGTGGCAGAACTGGGTGCATCATTAAAATTTTGGACACTTTGCCATTAAGAGACGATGAGCTTACTATCATGGACACTAGATATAAAACAAAAAATGTATTTACTAACTATCACAGCACGCGCGAGACAGTATTTAGTATTTAAAACATATTGTCAACTTATTTTACACAATAAACAGTACATTTATATTTTTATGAAACAAAACTGAAATGAATGAATAAACTAAATGCTTATTTTCTTAATTCAAGTTTGATTGATGTAGTTGCATCTGTATTTTCTTTTTATTTATAGTGAAGTTTATGGTTAATCTGTAAAATATCAAGCCTCAATCACATTTCTTTGTCATTAGGAATAATCAAAAATGTTTACTCCCAGATATCTGCATCTACCATCAAAACTCTGTATCTTTTTAGGACAGTGTTATGCAAGTTATTAAAATGTATTATTGCAGCTAAGAAAATTGATGTGACAATAAAGCTAAGCACTCACTTTGTAACCCTTACGACGTTATATAAGAGATTGATCAACAAAAATGTACATCAGTGCTCCGTCTGGATCGTCACACTAAGACTCGTCTAAGGACAATAACTGCTCACTACAGAGAATCATGCAATTTTCCATTTAAATTAATGACAGCCATTAAACACGGAGCATCCCACAAGCAGGGACAGGGGTACTTATTGGCAACCTTTAATTGCCGTCAGTGTAATTACAGCATGTGATGTTGTTGGATCGCATGTCTCCCACACACAGACGGAGGCTTTTGTAATAAAAGCCAGACATCACACAAGCTGCTCCCGAGGGAGAGCATCCACAACTTACACAATTATAAGTTGATGAGAAGTTTTAAAATGAACACCTCATCTGACCTCTGCTTGTCCAGTCCATAATTAATTTCCGTCAGTGGATGAATGCCTTCACTCACAATAACAAAACTTAATCCCCCTTTTGTTTCGCAGTTAATTCCACTCTGGTCACACTCGAACAACTTCAAGGAGTTTAGAGAAAAATCAAAAGATACTGTGATAACAAGTCTGAAGTAAGGCACAGAATTTTTTTTTGAGTAAATAGGGAGTCATAATTTTGTCCCAAATATTATTGTTACTATTAACTTTAATTAAAAGTTACATGTTATGCTCTTCAGTTTTTCTTTCCTCTAGTATGTTATTTAGGTTTTTTGTGTGTATCTAAAAGATCTACACAGTTCAACAGCCCGAAGTAAACAGAACCGCCGCGTTAGTAGACCAGCCAAAACATCCACATCATCGTGATGTGACATCACAATACCTCACATACAATATTATAATAATAATGATAATAATAATAATAATAGAGCGGGCCAGCTGGCCAATCAGAGCAGACTGGGCTTTATTAGGAAGGGGGGTCTTAACGAGACAGGAGCTAAAACCAAGAGTTTCAGACAGAGGCTGAAAAGAGGTGCTGCAGCAATGGAGGGAATGAGGAAAGTGATGTGTCTGAACATTAGAGCATGTAAACCTTTTCAAGCAGTAACACAAATTAAAATTATGAACCTGAATGCGAGCATAATATGTCTGCTTTGAAAACAATAAAGTGGGTCAATACACAAGGCTGCTGGCATGAAAATATCGGCAATCAATCATGTTTGGATATTACCGATGGGAAAGCTCAGAGTGCACACGACAATGATTCCTACTGTATCTGGTCGGTAAAACACATCTGCTGACAGCAGCATGCATTCAAATTCAAGATGCTTGCTTTGTAAAATGGGGAATGTCTGGGATTCAGTAAATAATAGCATTAACAACAGTAAGCATTTAC